CCCCAAAACCCCAAAACCCCAAAACCCCAAAATATAATTTAGAATAAGGATGCTAAAGAAAATAGGCAAACTGATTTTAAATGATTAGAATAGTTTTAATCTTATACATTACTTCATAATAATTCTAAAGTACTCCTATCGATGTCTAGTTTCTTCATTATAATTTCAAGTGCTTTATCAAAGTCTTCATTCATCCTAGGTGTCCCACAAACCCATATCTTAGACATATCACTTAAATTTTTAATAAGTACCTCTTCGATTGACTATCGATTCCATTTGGTGTCCTTTTAACCCATAAATACTTTTACAGTAGAAGATTTATCTTCCTAGAAATCGCTACTGTTTAAATCTGTTTTGAATTCCTCGCTATAATCGATTTATTCTGAGTATCTCACATAATATTCGAAATTGTGAATCTTTAATTTCTATGATATTTAAAGAAGTCCTCGACACAACTCATCCCCAATAGATTCTCCTCTTTATCTAAAAGAAGCAAATAGGATTAATTTAAAGGAATGAGAATCAGTTTGCTAGTCTTCATCTGGTGGGAGTAATCCCAAATTTTTCCTTATCAAATAAGCGACTAAATCTAAAAATGTAAGAATTCCGGTACCTGCAGAAAATGCTATGTGGCTACCTGTATATTGAATATCAAGTCCTTTTCCCATAGGACCTTTAAATTAATAAGAGTTTTTAATTGGACTGCTTGTTAGCAGATCCTCAGAAACACCTCCCACGTAATAGGTCTTTACTGTCAATGAAATTTCATTAGATTGCTAACTTTAAAAGAATGATTGATCAATTTGTGTCTTGAAATCAGATTTAATCTTATGATGACTTTCAAATTCTTTTATAAGCCTAAGATATTAATCATAAACATTAGGAGATAGGCAGTTGCATATAGTATATTATCTTTTCTTTTTAGGAGTAAATAAACTACTTACTAAATAATGCCTTCCTATCATTTTCAAATCAGAGTAATACCCTTGGACAGACTTTATCTCATTATTTAATCCAAAAGTGTAAGTATAAGTTTATTTTCTAACAATCTCATCTTTTGACATGATACTAGCAACAAACTAAGGAGCTTACTATTCTAGTATTCCAATAATCATTTTATTTACTTAAGTAAAAGCGATTGCTGTATGATTATGTGTTGATTTTTTCCCTGTATAATTTTCCATTTGGTATCCTCCATAAAAATATCTAGATATATCTGTTCCAATATTGTGACTAATTGTAAATCTTCCGCCTGGATGATTAAACTAATACTGTGAGACATCAAGGACCATATCATCTAAAATAACAAGTTCATGCCCTCTTCTTATCCTTTCTTTGAAATCTTAAACAGTTATGACTCTATCAATGTTATCATATTATCCAATTCTTCTTTTCTAAACTTAGAAAGTAATTTCACATACGGCCCATACAGTAAAAAATACAATTATATTCCAGATTCCCAAATCATAGTTATCTCTTTCGTATCTTTTATTATATGATTAAACTCCTAAGATTATAGATATCTATGAAGCAATTATAAGAATATAACCTCCTAACTTGTGAAAGAATTTTATTTTCCTTACAATTTAGTATTTCCATTTTTACCAGAGTAAAAGCTATTATGCAAAAAATCCAAGGAAAACAATGACAAACGTGGCAATTAATACAATAAATCCTAGGATTGAATGTAAGCTATCTCTTAATTTCCAGTCATAATACTTAAATGCAAGTAAACTCATAGTTGTTGTTTACACTAAAATTATTACACCGCTACCAATATGTATCCAATGATTGATTTTATAAAAAGCTCTCATATATCTCATAGATGCAATTTAAAGAAATCCTAAAATCCCCCAAGATTTCCAAAGAAGCCAGCCATGTAATTGAAGTATGTCGTATCTTTGAAATTTTGATTAATAATTTTTATAGCTTACCCCATAATTTCATCTCTGATATCAATAAGTCCTCCAGCATTTTCATCAAAAATAGGAGGCTAATACGTTACGTTTGAGCTATTATTACTGCTGTTTCCACCTGTAGTTTAATTAACTGTAGGTTTAATATAGTAGACTTTCATTTAAAAGTTGTTCCATGCACTATATGAATGTTCCACTAATCTAGATGTACTAGTTACATAGGCAAAGCATAAAGTAAAAGTAGTATTCTATAAAAATGTTATTCAGTAAAATGAAATTCATTTTCAATTTTGGTTACATATGGGATCACTTAATCCATTGTATCGTTTGTTATTAGTTATCTATCGCTTATAAACTCAGTATGAGTACTATTATATTTGAAAGAAGTCAAATAGCTTTGTATTGTATCTATATCAGGGGTATATCTTCCTCGGGAATAGAGATCAATTGCAGTACTTTGATCTTACTTTGCTTGCCAAATAATCATATCACAATTAGTCATTGTTTTTGCAAATCCAATTGAAAAATATTGGTTGTTTGGCACGATTGCATTAAATCTTACTGTGGTTTGATCCAGCATCCATACTCTTAAATAATTTCCTCCAGGAAAAGGAGATTAAAATTGAGATTAGATCTGAACAGCAAAAGTTTAGAATAGAATAATTAGAGTTAAAAAGTTTCCCGATCTCATTTTAAATTTGATTTTGATTTAATTATTCTTGCTATTATAGTTTAATTTATTGTTCTGGGGTTTTGGGGTTTTGGGGTTTTGGGG